CTGAATGTCTTTATTAAGAGATCTAAATGCTAATATGCAGAGCAATATATAAAATATGCAGACATATGCACGCACATACACTTACTTACATATGCACGCACATACACTTACTTACATATGCATACACTTACATATGCACACATATACACTTATATACATATGCACATGCATGCACTTACATATGCACACACATACATATGCACATGCATACACTTACATAAATATGCCCGCACACATACACTTACATAAATAAGGATAATTATGTACACATACAAATATATGGGGGAGCACCTTGACATAGTATAATGGTTAGCAAATTTGTTTCACTAGAACAATTACAACTGAGCAGTGAGTTCAATCCACATAGGGTTCCCCATACTTTAGGCTTTGTGCCACATCTAAGCTAAACTTAGAAAATCACGAGGCACTTCGATATGCTGTAATGGTTGGCAAGCCTGTCCTGCTAGATCAATTGCAGCGGAATAGTAAGTTCGATCCTCACGGGGTGCCTCATACCTTCCACCTTGTGCCACATCTAAGGAAAATCATTTTGTGGGCATTTTGACGAGATGTAATGATTAGCAAGCCTGTCTTTGTAAGAACAATTACAACTGAACAATGAGTTTGATCCTCACTGGGTGCCCCATACTTTTTGCCTTGTGCTACATCTAAGCCATGCTTAGAAAATCGCCATATAATTGTATGTGCCTATACATGTATAAGAGGCAAAATGGAGTAATGGATAGTGAGTTCAAATTCCAGTAGGATCCATTACATTCACTTACATGCTCATACCCTTGATGATAAGATATATACTGTCAGATTTGGGCACCTTAGTGTGGGGTAATGGTTAATGAGGCTAGTTTCATTGATCATTAATAGTGAGTTCGATCTTCACTGCATACCTCTTACATTTAGATTTGGGTGAAAAGTAAGATAGGTTAGTATCTTGGGCACTTTGATGTGATCTAATGGTTAAGAAGCTGGTTTTGCTATAACAATTACAACTAAGTAGTGAGTTTGATTTTTGATGGGTACTCAATATTTATGGCCTTGTGTCATATCTAATTTACCCTTAATAAATTACTATATAGTGTCAGATTTTATTATGCAAGTTAACGTTTTCACAAAAAAGTGATGGGAGAATAAGATATACAAAATTTCTATATATAATGGCACTGTTAGGCAATTGAATTGCTTTTATGAGCCACTGAATATGTGGTGTTAATGTATGGTGCCACTGCCTGGGCATTAATTAAAATTATCGAGTCTAAGCTTGAGAACTTACAGTTGGATGCTGAGAGCTATACTTATCTCTTGGAGACAAAATCCAACGCAGCTCTGTGGACCAATCCCTGATATTTCTATAATTTTATGCAAACACAGAATGTACTTTGCAGGACACTGCTGGTGAGCAAAATATGAACTTGGTCACCCAGCAATCACCTATATTGACCAGCTCTGTAATGACAAAGAATGCCACCTTAATGAACTTCCAACTCTGATGCAGGATCATAATGGTTGGTGTGATAGACTCATAATTATCCAAGCTAGCTTATGTGATGCCATTCATGGCAAAATTGTGATGAGATTCTCTGATTGTTCATCACTCACTGCAGCTGTGATGACATCCAAGGATCTGTGTACAGGGTGTCTCAAAATAATGTATACACTCTTTAAATATTAATAGTTAATAATATATATTTTTATATGGATGAAAATAAGCAAAACAGATGGATTGGAAGAAGAGGGACAGTTGAATAGCCACCTAGATCACCAGATTTGACACCCTTGGATTTCTTTTTGTGGGGGTTTCTAAAAGATAAAGTTTACAACAGGAAACCTGAAACAATTACTGAAATGAGAGTAGAAATTGAAGAATGTGCTCAAATACCAGAGGAAATGGTACTGGACGTTTGTAGGTCTTCAAGATATGAAAAGTGTATGGAACAGAACAGCAACCAGTTTGAACAGTTGATGTGAATTCATCATTATATGAACATTCTGCCATTGGATCAAGTAGCTTTTATCTTATTAAAGTTAATTTTCTATATTTTTTTTTGTATATTTTACTCTCAAATTCTTTAAATGTTTAAATGTATATTCTTTCTCTTGTATTGATCTTATTTACAAGTCAAAATACATAAATTGAATAAGTTATAACAAAGAGTGTATACATTATTTTGGAACACCCTGTATTTGAATATGTGCGTGGGTTTGTCTTCTTGGCTGTGATCACTTTCAACAAAACAAAAATGAAAACAATTATTTTTCAAAACTCCTCAGTTTGGGAAGTATTTTAAATGTGGGAGCCTTCCTTCAGCTTCGAGAGGTGAGCTGCCATCTTCCTAACTTCACTGGCCTCTGGGCTTGGTGACTCCTGATTCCTCACTACCAGTCCCTCTGTCACTGGCCGCTGGGCAGCTCTCCCTCCTCTGGTCACCTATCTACTACTCTAATGGCTGGACCAACTTCCTGCCTCTCTCTGCTTATATGGATAATCATGAGGTCCCACCCACTCCATCCACTTGTCTTTCTGTTGTTGCCTTGTTAGAGCCAGACACAAAGAGAGGAATTGAGTTAAACAAATATATTAACAGAAACCGTAATACAAACATATACAAACGAGAGTGTTACAGCAAGAATGTTTGGTCCGACTGCCAGAGCTGACTGCTGGAAACTTCCCTTTTCAAAAGGCAGTACCTTTATTTATAGCTGGGAGAGTTCATGCATGCATGGGTAAATTACCATTACACTTAGAGAAGATTTGGGAACACCCAAATCCACATGGGTGGTTAAATCAAAGGCAGCTGTAAGTATAAATCCCCCTCCAGAACACTGACACTTAAATTTACTTAAAGATGAACTGGAAACAAAATTCCTATGAAATTCTGATAAGTGGGCTTAAAAGAGATTATCTCCTTATCTTCTAAAGATGTGTGAGAAATCACATTGTTATACTTGAGTAAATTAGAAAGATGATTGTGCAAATCTGCCAATGAATAAGCAGGACAAACGGTCGTCTTTGAACAGTCAGATGCCAGTTTATCTGGAAAGAAACAATGCAGTTATTAATAAAGAGTTAAAATAAATACATGAAAGATTTCATGACTGTCATAGTCAGCCCATGATCTTTTCAGTCCACCTTTGTATGTTTAATTTAGTGTACCAAACCCTACCAACCAATAAAGAAAAGTTATATTGATTTTTATAGTGTTGGGTCAGACTACCTCAATTTTAGGTAGAAAAAATAAAATCTGAATGTTGCACCCACAAATACAACACAAAATTATAAACAATGTGGAGAAATGATCTTTGCGGAAAAAGACCTAGCTAAATATGACAATAACATTTATACAGGTAGATACATGTATTTACATATTAAAACTCAATGTTCTTCGTTGTGGCCATGAAGAGACCAATAGTTCGATTGTTTGAAATAATTTATTACAAGTGAGTCTACAAAGTTTCAAAGTGTTTTCGCTGCAAATAAGGAAATCAAATGATATGTATATATATATATATATATATATATCATACTTATTATAAAACCCAGGTTGTGTGTGTGTGTGTGTACATTTATATATTGGATCGGATTTCCTATATTTTTCAACCGATTTCAACAAAATTTCACAGGACTACGTAAAATTACCGTGCGGTGGTTCTAACAGTGCCAAAAATTGGAAAAACACAATTGTTTTTGCACAAAATCAATTTGAAAACACGATTAAGAGGCATCGCGAGAATGAAAGGGAGACAACTCATATCGAGTTATACTTATTATAAAACCCAGGTTGTGTGTGTGTGTGTGTGTTCGTTTATATATGGGATTGGATTTCCGACATTTTTTAACCGATTTCAATAAAACTTCACTTTTTTTTGTTTCTTATTGTCTTGCACACTTTTTTCTTTAGAATACTTTAAAAATTCCATTTACAAGACAGTTGTTTATAATAAAATTCTATTCAATCGGTAGACTCATAACGATTGAAAACAATGTTTTTGTTTGAGTTTGGGTTTGACCAATTCGTAAAAAACAAAACAAAACTAATTAAGACATGCGTGTCCGTCAACCTTAAACAATAATCTTTGTCAATTTTATTTTTCAGGCTTTATGATGGTTGATACTTGATCTATCTCTTACTGTTACATCCCGGGCAATGCCGGGCTCTACTGCTCTATATATATATATATATATATATATATATATATATATGTATATATATATATATATATATATATATATATATATATATATATATGTGTGTGTGTGTAAAGCACATGCTAATGGATCATGATTGACTGATTGCATACAGTATTGGTAATTTTAAATATGGTGAACAAAGAGAGATTAGACAAGACTTACTTTCATCATGGCTTTATATTTTTTTCAGTACAGAAAAATCATCCCTGGCTGGCATGTTTGTTGTGTCAACATGTGTCTATGCTGTTGATCGAGGCTGGGACTTGTTCACTCTCACAGATCTAGTCACTGACTACTGTTTTACTCATTGCCTCTGTTGGCTCATAAGCCATTTTTATTGCTTAAGGTCGATTCCGAATCACTATCTGAGTTTTGTGTGGGAATGTATTTGGTAACCCAAGCACTGACCCATTTCCAGGTTATCTGGAATTTAACTGCATGGACATTGTAGAAAGCACATCTTATGACTTACCTTATCCAATCAGGTTCCAGAAACCCCTTACTTAACTTGGAGCCCTGTTTGTACAGAATTGTGTAAAAAAAAAAAAAAAAAAAAAAAAAGTTTTCATAGCTACTGAATTTAGTAAGATTTTTTGTAGGCGTCTCTTACTTGTTTGTACTTCACTTATTGGCTGTAAAATGTAAGAGTTTATATCCTAGAATAGGCTGATTAAATTGAAACTTTATCATATAGTATGACCAAACAGACCTAAAATTTAACTGTCAGTTTAAATGTTTTCTAAAAAGATAAATGACTATCCATATTAATAATCTTGTTGTTTTTTTTTTATTTCAG